TAGGCTATAAATATTAAGTTTAACTAAAACTTATTATTTATAGCCTAATAAGCTATTATTCTTAGTATATTTCTTACGCCTATTATTTATTATAAGAGCGCTATTATTTACTAGAATTCTAGCTATTAAGCGATAATTATAAATTTTTATAATAATTAAGCTAGTATTACTTAAGCTTTTAATTAGCTTACTAATAATTAACGTATTAATTATAAAGAATATATTATATAAATAGCTTATCTTAAAAGGGTAATTAAATTTATTAGCTTATCTCTTACTAGTTACAATTAGTATTTTATTTACGCTTTTAATATTATTTTATTAGGGTTTTCTTTTATTCTTTTTAACCTTATTACTTACTATTAGCTTCTTAAATAATCCCTTAATAATTCTAATAAGCTTATTTTAATTAAAAATCTTTCTTTTATTAGTTTTATTATACTATTAATTACCTTTATTTCTCGTTTAATTACGCCTTTACCTTTTATAACTTAATAGTTAATTACCTTTACTTCTCGCTTAAATATACTCTTATCTTTTATAACTAGGTAATTAATTACGCTTATCTTAAAGCTATAGCGTCTCTTAGAGGGGAAAGAGTTTAATATTAATTAAAACTAGTATTCTAATAATTCTTAATTAATAAATAAAAGTAAGAATAAGCGTAAGAGAAAGGCCTTTAATTATTCTTAAAATACCTTTAATTAAGCCTTATCTTATAGCCTTTTTTCTCGTAAAATTAGCCCTTATACCGATAATACGTTATCTTATTAGGGTTTTTTATTACGCATTAGTAGTATTAATACTAGTAGTTTTACTTTGAATTAGGCGAAACTTTAAGCTTTTAATTTAGTTCTAATTTACGCGCTCTTTATTAAAGGTTTACTTATCTATTAAGTATATTAATTTTATTAATTTATTTTATTTTAAGCTCTTTTTTATTCGCTTAATTTAAGGCTAAAAAATCTAATAGTTTTCCCTTAATATTACTCTTATTTACTTTAATAAAAGTCTTTATTACTTTTTATTAATAGATTACTTTATCTTATTTATCTTATCTTTTAACTAATAAAAATCGCTTCCCTTTAATATTATTAGTTTATAATAATTTAAACGTTACTTTACGTAAGTATTTTATATTTAAACTAGCTGTGTATTATCTCTTTTAATCGCGTTAATTACCTATTAAATAAGATAGTCTTTTTTTTTTATTTCCTTTAATTAATATTTATAATTAGTTAGTCTAAAAAAATTTATTAGCCCCTTATAATCCCTTTACTTATATAAGTAATTATTAAGGCTATTTAACGCTTAGTTAAAGTAAGGGGAAATAGTTGTAAGGTAGTTAGGAAACCTTACTTACTTATAATACGATTAATTACGTTACGTGAAATAGGGGCTTTAAGACTATATCCCCTATATCTCGTATAACTAGA